GATGAGTGTAATGTGACAGAAATAGGCTGCCCAGTCTCTTCAGCAGTAGCAGGACCAATTTCCTACTGCAGAAACATCATAACACATTCAGTTCCCAAACAAATGATGGGATACTGCTGATTGATTTGCCAGTGAGCATCTACAGAAAAATGAATGGTGAGACAGTGGGAGAATCAGGCTGCAAGCTTCAAACCTCTTGCACATTTTTGATTTCACACTCAGCTAAGCTGTGTCTGCCAGTTTTTTAGTGTTAGCCTGGTTATGAGTGGATGGGATAGTTCAGGCATAGAAATATTCTTTCTGTTCCTAATTTATTTGCAATATGTGTATTTCAAAGATTATCAAAAGCATAAATCTTTTTTTAAGAAAACTGCAACAATAGAGATGAGTCTTTCATTTGCTTCCCCTGAATAAAGCATCCAGCTCCTATTGTTTTCAAAAATGAAGGATCATGTTCATGATGTGTTTACAAGACAATACAAAGGGAAAGCAGAAAACATAACCAAAGTATAAATATCTCTATGCCTATCTATATATCTATATACCTATCTAGATTTAAAAGTAAAAGTTTTTAAAGCAGTCTGTTTCAAGAAATACACAAATGATCATGTTAACTTCTGAATATACTATGTCACATTGACTGAAAGGGAAGGGAAAAAAAGCAACAGAAAGATAACACTTGAAAACTATGATACAGGATTGTATTGTGCTAGAGACGGGAATATTACAGGCAGGCTTGAATCCTGAAGCAATTTTGTGGAAGGTTCCCTGTGTGGACATCTTCAGAGAGCACAGGGCTGTCTCAGAGCATCTCTTTGACTTCAGAGAGAATCTGAGCTGCAGCTCTTCACAGGAACCACAGGTGCAAGCTCACAGAGCACCATAATTTCTGGATGCACATAAGGGAACACATGTACTGAGGTCTCTCCAGTTACTTCTTAGAAGGACTTCCTAGTCTGATTGTATTTTGCAGCAATGTCCTGCTCTAATTAGTCTCAAAAGTCCATGCTCAGATATCATGTGGCATTGCTCACTGACATGGACTAGATAAAAGCACCCACCAATTTGTCAAATCCTCGGGAGTGCCTGTGTCTGCCAAAAGTGCCAGGAAACTTAGCTCATGTCTGAGTGTCAGAGCATTTTACTTCTTCAGTCACCCTTCTGTCTTTTGTCGTTTCTTGGCCCTCATCATATATCTTCTAAAAGTGTATTACAGCTGAGAAAAAGGGCTGCCATGGGTTACAGCTGATTGTCCTGGTATCTCTATGCTGCAATGTAAAATATAACCATTGATATCATAAGAAAGGGTACTTCCAGAACTTCTGCAATTTAGTCTCATTTCTTTACTAAAAAACCCTAATATTTTGCTGTAAAATGATTGAAAATCAATAGTACTAGTCTAAGTAATTTTGTTCAGAAAATAAGGCATTTAAATTTTACCATTTCTTTTTCTGGAAAATGGAGAGTCCCATCTTCAGGAAAAGAGAGTTTTGTTTAAATTTCCATCAAGCTATTTTTAGGTGACTTAGGTTAGACTCACACACAGACTCAGGCAATGGTGAGAAATGCAGGTCACATTTCCTAAACACCTGCATTTCTTATTAAGCCCCACTGCCCTGAGTCAAATTAAATTAGCTATCTTATACAGAAGACATGAACAACACACACTTTCAAAAGAGCCTCCAGAAAATGCTTAGTCATGAGGCTTTAGGTTACTCTGAGATGACAGATTTTGGGCATTAAATTAGTGTTTTATATGTCAGGCATCATCAAACTTAGGTAAATATGTACACAGACAGGGGCAGAGCTTTAAGGAACATATCAGACAGGCGCCTCTTTGGTTCCTCAAGCACCAAGGCAGAGTGTTAGACTTCCAAACTGGTTGTCAAGGTGAATGATCTGTCCTAGTCTTTTGACAGAATTAGCCTTAAATTGCTTCAAATGTCAATTGTTGCTTGAAGAGAGGTGAGCTGTTCAAACTTATCTAAATATTTCCAGTCTAAGGAGGAAGTGTGCTGTTAAAATAGTATTGCCAACAGAAAGATTGAAACAGCAAAAGAAAAAAAAAAAATCCCTACATTTTAAAGAAGCAGCTACTCAACCATTTCTTTGGTAGTTTAATTATACCTTAAGATTTCCCTAGGGCCAAGTTTCCCTTTACATAGTACATATGCAACTAAAACTATTTTTGCTGACAAATGCTATATGCAGTGTGACAAAGCTGCAAAACAAAGAAGTGAATGTGATTGTAAATGAGATCTTCATAGAAGACTTTTTACTTTTTAGTTGGCAGATTCCATTGCTTTGACTCAGTACAAATCTGTAAAACACATTTCAGATGTAACCTACATTATGGTGTCAGGTTAGAAGAAAAATATCTCATCCAAAAGTGTGCAAAAAATTAAAACAACATTTTCCCTTAGCTTGGCTACTTATGAACAAGATGCTGAAAAGTAGAATTATCACTTCTTGGGAGAGGCTATTTTTAAATTAGTTTTTAAATCCATGGTGAAATAAAAGCTAGTTTTATTGTTCCAAAAGATCAATTTCATACAGAAAAATAAAAGCCATATTTTTCTTTTATTTTGAAATGTTCCTAAGTTACTTTCTGAAACCATAAAGTACATATTTTAAACTTTAACTTTTTAAAACATGAATGATCAGTAAAATTTATTTCACTCCATACATTGCTGATCAAGGATATAATCAATTCAGCTGTCCTATATGCATTAATTTATTTTCATCCAAATATTGCTATTTATAGTTAATCTGAATTTTCACATGCATGATAAAACAGAAGAAAAACATATAAATATTTTCTTTAACTGAGGTAAGACTTTCATCATGAACATTCTACTCAGCATGGGTGACCAGAACCTAGGAAATGTGATTGTTTCACCAACATTGATCAAAAAATATTTACACACATGCAAGTTCAGAACAAATCTAGTGAAGACTCATGAACACATTCTGGATTTTCAGCAGTCTAAATGACAGTAGAAGCGTAACCCTGGCTGCCTCTGACAGTGTTTCACTTAAGTGTTATTTAAAACAAATTTCCAGTGCAATAAGGCCTCTCCCCTCTGCAAACGTAAATTATATTTAATATGCCTGGGAACAAGCGAGGCTGCCAAAGTCTGAGGCAAGCCAGCCTTTATGACTTCAGTCCGTTCTCAGCCCTTGATTACAATTTGATTTCCTTTGGCATCAAAAGACAAACTATTTTAGTGAACAATGTTCTTCCTTTACCAAGAGTGAGCTCTAGTTTCTTGGCAGAGTGCCTATTTACTGGCAGACAACATGTCCAACCTCCCAGCAATAGCAGACCTGTGGACTTTGATTTAAAGCAGCACAAAGTAAGAAAAACAGAACAGAATGTATATTGCTCACTTGAGAGGCTTATTGTTTAACCGGCCTACTTATCATTAGCCTGTGCTCCAATCCTCAACACTTTCTTTTGTGTACTTTATGTCAGACATATGGCCACGTTGGGATGCTGACAGCAGTTTTAGCACTGCTGCACTATATGTACTACTTGTAATTTGCTCTGTCTTATAGCTGGGGCTTTCTTCAAGGAAGAAAGTGAATTTTAAATGCTGCTGTTAATAACTGCAACCGTCTGACAAGATATAAAAGTGATGTGCTTGGAGTGATAGCAGCGTTCATTCATCTACATTGAGAACCTTGTAGATGTTAAAGGATTTAAAATGGAGCATCCATTATGTGGAGAAATTAAATCCACAAACACTGCTGAATTTAAGACAAAATAAAGCATTCCCATGCTCTTAACTCCCTTGCCCCCATGTTAAAAGGAAAAAAAAAAGGAAGAAACACATTTCAAAGAGAGACAAATTTCACCCAGGCTTTTTGTTTACCTCCACCTTTGGGTAACCATATACGTCCCTCGGGAATCTGATAGCATGCTTTTTCCCTTCTCATCACTATCTGAGCTCCAAGAATGCCCTTTTACCTCTTCTTCTGTTTGTTTGTTTCCTTTACTTAAGTACCTTAAACCTGACATAGTGATCAGGAGGGACGAGCTGGTGGGATACCACTCAGGTCCAGCAGGAGCCTTCCTGCCTGCACAGGAACACCAGGGTTTCCCTGCTGTTGCTCCCCAGTTTTCCCTGGGACCAAGGTTCTTCCTGAAAATATTAGGAGCATCTTTGATTTCAGCTGAATCCTACACCTTACAAGAGCTTACCAGCTCTATTGTAGAGTAAGAAGCTTCCAATAATTATGTTCTTACATTAGAAAATATTGTTTCTATAGGAAAAAAAAAAAAAAAAAAAAAAAGTGAGGAAATGCCCTGGTAAAGAGACTGCTTTGTTTAAAAATTCTGATAGAAAATATTGATAATCTCAGAACTTTATTCCAGTTCTAAAGTGTTTGTTTTGTTTTTTTTTTTTTTTTAGTTAGAAGCAGAATAAAAAAAAATACAGGTTTGAATCAGAGCACAATATTTTAATGATTTTTAGGCAGAGCATATCCATCAGTCTCCAAATATTTGGTAAAAACTTCAGTCAATTTTGGAATTAAAAATAAAATAAAAATATATCTCAGCATTTGCCAAGGAATAGACATTACAAGTTCAATCAGCCTCACTCTAGACCAAAATACAGCTGAACAGAAAAATGGGAGCAGATATAAACACATAACATAACCTCCCTCACTGTGATAGCAGAGACACTAAAGTGAAACAGAAATTAACATCAGATAATTATAATAACAGGTAAAATAATCGAAATAATTACCTTTTTACATATCCTATTGAAAAATTCAAAAGCACCTTGGTAAGGGCAGTAGGGTGGAAGGGGGAGAGAATGTGTCTGATCTATTATTGATAGCAAAAATGAAATTACATAAGATTATTAAGGTCTTGAGCATTGTGTTATTGTCATGACAAGTGAAGAATAAGGTCTAGCAAAAAAAAAAAAAAAAGCCTCCTGTGTGCTCTGAAGATTGTCATAAGTAATAAAAGGAAAGTACAGCTGGGTGTGCGTTCTGAGAGCTAGCTTATTGTGAGACTGCTGGAGTAGAACAAAAAGGTAGGATGAAAGAAAATAATGTTATATATATAATGTTATGATATCTCAACTGGAAAATTCCTGTAAATACTTAAGGGAAAATATTAGTGGGGGAAAAAAACCTGCAGGTATTTTTAAAGCATTAAAAGGTATACTGAGACAAAAAAGGAGCAATGTAGGGTAATTAAAAAATAGTGAAGAATTATTACTGTGCAGGTTTTAAGATAAATTTCACAGAGGTGTAGTTTATTTTATATGGAATCTTACTGAGCTCACCTCAAAGCTAGGTTTGATTTGCTGGCATAACTCTTAGAAATCTCTGGATTGTTTCTTGGTTCTGGCAAACAGGAATAATCAGAGTGCTACACTGCAGATATATTCTCTTTTCTCTTAAACATGCACATAGCTAGATACCTCAAAAACTAGCTAAGCAAAACTATGTGCAATTTTACAGAGTAATACTGAAAATCAGTGCTGATGCTCCTGTCACACTGACATGATCCATGTGAAGCACAGGGTTGATGTTCCTCTGCAGTGAGACAGACTGTCAGCCATGAATTTACTCTAAGGGCATTTTTGTCTAGTTTTCTATGTCAGTGAGAAGCCACGGGAAGACAGAGAAACCATCAAGCAAATGCTTTCTTGGGTCATTCACCTGTGCTTTAAGAGACTTGAATCTAATCTCTCTTGTAACTTTAGAGAGGCAGTAATCTGAACTCACTTTGGAGAGATTACCCTTAGCAGTTTGTCGCTGAACGTTATTGGTCCAAGTAATTTTCCCAGTTAGAGGAATTTGTTTTGCTCAGTTAGAGGAATTTGTTTTGCTCATCATTAGACCACAGATGGAAGGAGCTGCTGTCCCCCAGTCCTTAAGACACATGCCCAAGAAACTGGTGCAAGTCTCAGCTCCAGCCACTGCTCCAACAATTGCTTCATCGATTACATTAAATAAATATCCAACAGCTTAATGGCTGGAGCTCTCACAACATTCAGTTGGAAGTCCTGCCATCACAGAAAGGACTTGGATACAGCTTGTTATGCTGAACATGCCACTGTCAAGGATTAAGACCAGGAATCAACAGAGGAAGAGTATGCTATGTGTATTTTATGCAACACATTCACAGGAGACATAAGTACATGAATGGTGCATTTGAGTAGCCATATTTTAGATGATTGGAATCTTTTGTTTCAGTTAGGAAATCTACTGTGGGACGGTCAGCAGTCACAGTGGCTACCTGAGGCACCATCCAAGCTGTGTGCATCTTAGACACTCAAATGGTGACAAGGTATTAAAACTCAGTTAAGATCAGAAGCTGAGGATGACTTTGAAGGTGTCATGGCTAAAGGTGAACCTCAGCACGACTTAGAGAAAGGCAGGTGCCTCACATCCTTAAGACTCTGGATTTCAGATGGCAACGGTTCCTTCACATATAGAAGTGCAAAACTCAAAACTTTAAATGTTTGGACAAGGACAATGCTAGCTAAAAATAAATTAGCTCAATACTCTATTTCCCATACTCCCTATCTCACTGGTCTCTGTCACCCTTAAAAATTCTCTTTCTTCTCAGGCTTCCAATGCTCCTTTGCATTCTAAATGAGAAGAAAATTATGATACCACCACCACTTTAAAACTTCAAATACAAGAGCCAAATTTATCACTGATGTGATCTCATTAGCTTAATGAGATTACACCAGGGATGTATTTGTCCCAAGGACTATATTAAATGAACAGTAATATATGTTTTTTGTAAAATCCTGTAATATGCTTTCATTAACTTTGTTCCCCATACCACATATTTAACCTCTCTTCCTCCCTTTCCACTCATTGTCAGTGTAAATGCAGCTCATCACCTAGGTAGAATGAAGCACATTAACTATGTGAAGGAGTCAGTATGCCGAAGTTATCTATTAATCTTTTCTCCCATCCTCTTAATGGACTGATTTCAACTCCATGAAACACAAAGCAAATATTGCTTTTCCCCATAATGAAAACTTTTTTTTTAAAAAAAATAGGTGCCAGGTGCTTTTTTTAATTTGTTTTTTACATTGTCTCTTCCTCTCCATCTCCTTCAAACTGGCAAAAATCCAGTGATTGTTTTGCTGCATCATGTATGAAATGTTTCACTTCACTGCGATACCAAGGCTGCAATCCTTCTTTCAAACTGTGAGCATTAATATGTATTTCATCCTCTGGCTTTCCTGAGCCAAAGCAAATGAACTGTGGCCTCATCGAAATGATACGGTCTCTTGACCCTTTGTGCAGTTTAAAATGATGTAACCTGAACCATTTTAATCTGAAGGCTGGAACAAGTCAAAAGCTGTAATGAGTTCAGGACACTTCAAGACATTAGAAGAGCTATCTTGCCATAAAAGATGCATCTTTTGCATATAGAAGCTGTAATAGCATAAATCTGAGTGACACAGACATAAAAAATCTGCCCACTACTAGATTTTTTCTACCTCTTCCCAATGATGACTTCAGAGACCAGATCTTACATAAGGGACATAATAATTGACAGTAAAAGCCACACCAGAGTTAAATGCCTCTGTCAATGTTTCAAACAGAATAAACATGATGGGGAGGGTTTAAACCTGTGCAATTTCCAAAGTGGCAAACTATTAAAAGCTTGGGGGAAATGCTGCCTTTCAGTGAGCTGAGTTTCTTACAAATTTTGAGAATAATATGCTTGTCCCTCCAGCCCACTCTGAGATGCCACTTCTGAAAATAACCTTCAGATCTGTTGTGAGTTCCTTCCCATTTCCATTGTGATCACCTCCGGATATCTTAGAGACAAACTTTGACTCCGCCGAGGTCACTGAAAAATTAATACAAGGAAACTTCATATGTTAGTTTGGGGTTTTTTAATACCTCTAAACTCTTTATAAAATGGGAGAAGTTCAGTCTTACAAGTGGGAAATCTTAAGAATAATGATCCCAGCCTGGAAAGCAATTAAAACGGCACAAAAACTCAGTCCCAAGTGTCAAATCCAAAGGATCGTCCTATCTTTTATAAGAGTTTAAGAAACAGCTTCTGTTCATATTATGCAGTGGTGACTTAGTTGTCTGTTCTCATCTTGAGGGCTAGCAATCTAATGGCAAAGGAAAAAAGGCAAATTAAACAAGGCAGAATGAATTCAGACTGCAAAGCATCCAGCAGAGCTGAACCTAACAAGCTTGAATTAAATAATTAGAATACCAAGGAAAAAAAACAAACCTTCAGAGAGCAAAGGGTGTTCTTGGTCACTGATTGCTATTTAACTTGATTTGGCCTCTAACGATTTAGAGATGGTCAAAATGCATAAATTTCCCCAAGCTTGATGTGCTTGGCCATGATGACTGAAGAAGGGAAGAAGTCCAATTTACATAGTACATTTTTTTAGACAGTTAAGCCTTTAAGTAGATTAATAATGTTTGGAACTTTAAAACACATAAGATTTTATTAAATGACAGCATTCAGGTTGAAAATAAAATGGAAACGAAACGACATAAGCATACACTGATTAGAAACATGCAATACCTATTTACTTAGGTTAAGGTCAAAGAGTTATTATAGTCAGATAATCAAAATATCTGCAAAGGAAAAGCTTTCAAATTTCACCAAATTATGTATCAAATAATTTTGAGAGTCTCATGGTACTGTTGAAATCCTTGAAGATTGGTGTAGGCTGAAATAGCTTTCCAGCTTGGAACTCCAGCTAAAATCCTTCTGATAACTATTCACTCACTTTCCAAGTGCAATGTCATTCAAGCTCTTAATTTTAACTCTCCACCCCAATATAGTTACATTAAATGATGGAAAAAAGTGTTGTGATATGGTTTGACATCATAATGAGAAAGAGAGAGAGAGAGAACACGACCTGCCTACAAACCCACAATATTTAATCTGATCATGCAAATTCAAAGTTTTTGCCAATAAAGAAAGTATATATTAACAAATTATCACTGGATAGGTGAGAGTAGGTTTGTGGATTTTTTTTTTTTTTTGTTATCTGGTTAAATCAGAAAGAAAATTTCTGACTTACTTATTATTCATTTTTATATGCTTGTGATTACATGAAAACTAAAATAAGTTGCAATTGGATTGGGGTTTTATACATGAAACAGAGTGACTTCATTTCAAAAATCTCAAAGATAACCTTTTTACCAAAATATTATTTGAAATTTAAAAATTAAGTGTTTCAATTGCATGATATTAAAATTGAAGTTATTTTATCTTGCACAAAATTGTATTATTTCAGAAAAATGAAACTTAATTGAATGCAACAATTAATGAGACAAAAATTCACCCAAAGCAACATTCTGCAAAATTTTTCAACCTTGAAAAATGGAACTAAATGTCTTGCACTACATTGGTAAATATTATATTTGGCTGCCCCTGTCAGCAGATCAAAATTGTCATGGCATCCTTTTGGATGCAAAGTGCTGTGTCAATACAAATTGCACTGGAAAACATTTCATCAATGACTGAATGTGAATCTTCAAAACATAGGGAAAGAACTCTCAAAAAAAGAAGCCATTCAAGAAAAATGCAAACCACAATGTGTAGAAGGGGCAAGACCTTCCTCACCCCCCAGAATTTGACTTGAGAAACTGGCTTAGGGCACATACAGTGTCCAACTCCTTCTAAACAATTAAATACCACATCTACATAGAAATAGCAATATTATAGAATTGGAATAGTGATCACTTTAGCTAGTAATACCTCAATGGGGCCTTTGAAACACAGTCATGTAACTAAGCTATTAATCAAAACAATGAATAGGTGTACGAAGTCAGTGATTAACAGTATTTTAGAGGACCTAGTAGCAGGGTTTTCAGACTTAGACTAGGCACTTTTCTAGCAAAATTAAAATCAGGCCTAGGTCACTCTTGCCTGCAGAGCACAGCTGGTAATGGCCTTCAGGAAATCAGTGCAGTGGATTTGCCGTGGCACCTCTGGTATCAGCATCCATGCTCCAGCTGTTTCCAGTTGTGCACGGTATGCACACAGGCTCTAATTTAGGACACCAAGCTCTGTTTCTTAGCTTGCATTTGGAAGGAGTTTGCAAAGGGTTAGCCAAATATTAGTCAGGTGATGTCAGCTTTGATTGCATAAGTTGCTGTGAAAATCTGGGAATCCCTGAAAAAGTCAGGAAACTGCTTTGTGGGTGTTGCTTCAAAGGGCTGGGATGGACAGTGTCCTAGATTCTTTTTCCCAACAGCATCTAAATTTATCTCCATTGTTCTTTTTTTTTCTATTTTTTTTTTTAGCTTAGTTAGTACTAAACCTGGATGCCAGCCAGCGAGGAACAACAATATCTTGACAGGGAACCTCATGCATCCCACACGGGTCATCTACATTGTCTGGGATCCGTGTGCATCAGAGATTACAACAGTGGAAAACAAAAGAATTACGCAACACAAAGGTCTCGATGAGAGTAAACAAGAGAAACGTGACTTGCTGCTGAAGCACTTTCCTGCCTGTAGTTGAAGCAGAGGGATAAGAGGAGGTCCACCCTTCAAATCTTCCCAGACAGTAACATACAAATGCAACAAATAAGCAACAGGAGTCTCATGTACTGTTGTCCGGTGTTTCTGTTTAGTCAGTACTTTCCTTGGAGCAGAGATAAAGGACTAAATTGTATGCAATTTCATACCAAAACGTGCTTGCTTTTTTTTTTTTTTTTTTTTTTTTTTTTTTTTTAAGCTGATAACATTGATAAAGTCTTAGGTAAATTAAAAACATGTGACTGAAGTCAGACCCTATTTATTCCAAAGGAAAATCAACCATACCCATGAGAGACTTTGACTGAGGGCAAGACTGTGGGACTGGTAAAATAATGATCCATTCTGAGAGAGGTTGTCTGACCTCACATTAAATGCCACAACAATGTGGCTAGCTGAACTAGCTCAGAGCCCTTGGCACAAGTGCCCCTCTAAGCACCTGCTCTGTGGGTGGTTCAGCTTGCCAAGGCTCAGCAGGCTCCCCAGGCACAGCAACATGCGCCCAAGGCACCATTGCCATTACTTTTAACCCTGCCTGAGGCTCCGCATGTACCAGCAGGGGACCACCCCTGCTTTGAAGGAAGGGGATTGCAAAATTGTTAAACTGGAGATTCATTTTTTCTCCTGCAACTCATTGGCAACAGCACATTGCTTCCGTAAGCACAAGTACATCTGCTCTATGTGGAAAGGAGAGACCCAGTCAGAAACCAGCTGAGGGTGTTCAGCATATTAAAAAATTCGTGGAGAGCTTATTATCAAGAAGGGCTTGGAAAGATGCTGTCTAGTGACCTAAAATGTTGGGAAGCCTCAAAGTACATAAAATACTGCATTTTTCTTTCCTGTCCTTTTGCACGTATTGACTGTTTGGTAGAGTCAGTCTTCAGTCTCTCACTCCCAAGGAGAAAGATGGTGCCTGTGCATGAGCTGTGTTTTGAGATATCCCTGAGGGCAATGCAAGCTGAAAGCAATCACAAGTAGCTCAAGAACAAGATTTAAGCAGAATTTAAGTATACATGACAAAGAGGTATTATTCTGAATAGACTTTTCCAGATCCTGCCTAATCCTGGAGCTACCTAGACTCCTTTGGTAAATCCATGGACTTTTGTGGTAGTCCAGAACACACAGAGGTATCTCTGCCTTCACAGTACTAAGTCAACAAATACATTTCTCTTACCTAAACCAGATCAGTACAAAAATAAGAGATGCTTTTCCACCTGTTTTGACACCATGATCCAATAATCATTCTCAGAGCACACCTAGTATCCCCTGTCATCATCAGGACCCAAGCGTACAGTTTCCCTTTAATACAAAACCTAATGATTGTAATGTTCAGTCAGGATGTAGAAAGGAGATTCAGATGACTTCCTTATTGAATCAATGCAAACCAACAACTATAATGTCTGCCAGACAATGCCATAACCACTGGGATGCAGATTACTCAAAATTTATCTCATCAATGGTGTTGAAGCAGTGCCACAGTGCACCATAATTGTAGCAGAACAAAAGTGGTTATTCCACTTTATTTGGCACTTTTGAGGCTCAGTTTTCACTTTCCAGCTAGAGGCAACCCTCTGCAAGAAAGATTTTGAAAGACTGGATCAAATCCAGAGGATGGCTAGCAAGATGAGTTTGTGACATATGAGGAGAAGCCAAAAGAACTGGGTTTGTTCAGCCTTAAGAGGAGAAGGTGAAAGGGAAACCTTTCTGATCTTTGCAGCTGCCAAATATCAAGATGCAGAGATAACAGAGGAACAGCTCTTGCCAGAGGAACAGGACTGAAGATCTCATGCACTGATGGCATGAGAAATGATAGTCACACGTTAGAAGAGAGGAAATTCTCTTTAGACATAGAGGAGGAAAATGTACCATGGAGATGACTGGGTGCCTGAGCAGGCTGCCCAGAAAGGCTGAGGAATTGCAGATACTAAAAAGTTTACTGGCCAAGTGTCCCAGCAAGCTGATCTAACTGAACCTGGTTTGTGAAGGAAATGGGAGAGGATGTCAGGAATCTCTTGGTTTGCGTGAGAAAATCTGAATTATGGTCTCGAGAACGAAATGTCAACTTATATGTGTGTATACACAGGCACATGGGGAGATATTGAAGCTCTGTTAGAAACAATAGTGCCAAACGAGCCACTCCTTTTTAAAATTCCATGTGTTTCTGTCTCCCATACAGAGCTTGAATTCTGGGCTGCAAACTCCAGATGAAGAGGAGCATCTCTAGAAATTTTAAATGAGAATAAAGTAAGTGGGATTTCATACATATCCCCAGCCTTCCAAATGGTTAGACTTGGGCAGAATTGCACATGTTTTCTAACCCAGGTAGCTTCCTCCCTCCATTCCAAAATTACTATTTTCCTCCATTCTTCGGTACAATAAGTCTGTTCCTCCTTCCCACTCAAGTCTTTTGGGTGCTCTAATTGAACTGTTCCCTAATACTCCTTAGATTTCCTGCAAACACATCAACAGTCTTGAAAAGTTTCTGCCTTCTCTGAAAAAAATTCATAATATTTCACCTTTTATGAAGTTCATTTCAAATACACTTTTACAAAAAGGTGCTTTAACTTCTGGATCTTCAAGTTAGTAGATGCTACAGTATTTAAAATATCAAAGTGGACACTGCCTCATTCGCAGATAATTTAATTTTTATACATATCTGCCTTACTTGATAGCTTCTCTTGCAGTCCACCCATAAGTGTGTATTATCTGTTATCTCCTGCCTTACAATGTGTTCTCTTGAGAAACTATGAAAGGGAAAACTAATTTCATTTTCTGTGCTTTCTTTCATAGACCTCAACACACGAGGTCTTTGTTACAGCCATGGGCCCTGGGTGCTATAGTTACATTATATTATTTCATTTTAAAAATTGAAATTATTATAGACTTTGTAAGAAAGAGGAAGGTGTAATTACAAATTAAGCAGTAAGATGGTATGGTCAATGAGGGCAGAAGTGTAAGGAAATAGCTTCAAGAAAGGCAAAACTGGTTTTATATCTTACTAAATATAGGTATCAAGATTTCAATTTCTTATATCCTCATATAAATGAAATAGACTTCACCTATGCAAAAGCCTGAAAATTATCTCAGCATGAAAATAATATTTTTTGCATGCAAATATCTTGTAAATAATTTTTTAAAATATTTTCACTTTTGCTCCATGCAATTAATTATTGGAATAATGCTTCTCTTACCATTTTTACCATTCTCACTGAGTGTGGATGTTCTGAACTATATATCGCTGGTGAATGAGTACTGAATTGACACTAGTGATCTAAGGAAGCAGAGGTGGATGTCTAAGAGATTTCATGCAGGCAGGAAATGCTGATATGTTACAGAACAAAATAAATTTCCCACTGTGACATGTAGGTTGGAGTTTATTTCCAAACTATAGCAGAAGTCTCCATCTTAATGTTGCTAATCATATTAGCTAAATATCACAGCAAGTAAAATGAGTTTTCAATAACACTGCTGAGTAATTTTCCAGCTAGTTTCATGCTTGGGATAATCTTATTTTTTTTCTTTGTAAGTTTTGCATGGATATGCTGGGGCAATTATCTTCAGGCATTTGGAAACTTAGCTAGCACAGCAGCTTGCCAGTCTGCCTTAGTGTGACCCACTGTGGTGTTTATGTTCTGCATGCCAGTGGTTATTAGCTCACATGTGCGTGGAATACCATTTTCCTCTTTATTGGTTTAACACAATAGTATGCCATGGGGAGTGTTTTACAGAGGGGACAGGATCTGAATATAGAGGTCTTTCTTCAAAGCAGGTATTCATTATCCATACACAGGAAATTTTACTCATTACTCCCATTTTTTATATTTAACCACGAACACCAAAACAGATTATATGGATGAGCTTAAAGATTAATAAATAGTGGAGAAAATAATTGCAGTTATCTTCTGAGAAATCACAGTTTGCTCACTTTTGTATAAACATATTCCAAAGCTCAGGCATTTGTTCAATAAAGGCCAGATTAAGATTGCCCACCATAGGAGAGGAGAAATTTCACAGTGATTTTCTCAGTAAATTCAACAAGTATAGGCTTCTGCATTGCTTTGTGTCTTCATCTAACATTGTGGCCACATCCCACCCAGAAATAAGCTACACTTAAATGTCTCTTCACTTCCCTAACATAAAGCTGCCCTCAGCCTGTCCCTTCAGCTGTGCACACTGAGTCAGGTCAGATAACCATGCAGGTCTAAGAAAACTAGAAGATACAAGCAAAATCCTCAGAAAAGTTATTTTTCCTTTGTCCTAGTCTAGTGTATTGCCTCATAAATAATTGTAGTAGAGCAACACAGAGAACAATGTATGGAAGGAATAAAAAGGCAGGGAGAGTAAGGTAAGGAATGCTTAAATCCTCAAAACTGCAGAAAAAGGTGTAGGGAAGGAGGATTCAAAAACAGACAAAAGAGATAGGTGTCATGTCCACAGATTTTCCCATAAAATGAAATTTTCATTAGAAAGAAAGAAAATCCTAATATGAGTGAGGAAATGGAAGCCAAACCTCAGACCATACAACAAGGTTATATACTTAAATGCATTGAACCCCTTTAATTTTGAGCCACATTTACCTATTGATCTATTGTGAGACTCCAATCCTAAAATCCTTATTTCCAACAGATGTAGCTCTTTTTTGTTTTAGCTGAATTCAAATAAATTAATTTTTATATATACTTTTTATATATGGGGTAGCAAATATTTATATTTATATACATGTAGCAAAAAGACATATCTCCTAACTGTGGGGAAAATTTGTGTCAGTGTTTGTGCCTCATTAGATGTCATAGCATCAGCCTGTAAGTAACATCATTTGTAAGAGTCTTTATCTCTAAAAAAAGTTATTAACAATGACTAGGAAGATTTTTATTTGCCTTGGGATTTTTTTCCCTCATCTAGTTATGCCATTCATAACACAATTGTCCCAAGTTCTCTGATCTTTGTCTGAGTTCATGCACCACTACTTATCTTCACTGAGAGAATTAAGTCGATTCTTTACTTGGCTGCAATTTTCAAGAACCACGTGAGAAGTCTTTATCTTTCGTACACCTACCTCTCTGTCTGATTTGGAAGCTGGCCAGTGGTTTCCAAAGTTATTAGGAAGAGAAAAATGAGAGTGAACAGAGTGACAGGCTACACAGTGACAGCATCTTCACTTCACTTGGAAACCAGACAAAAATAGATGCTTGCATATCCTAAATGACAAACTTAAGTGAAGGCAACTTTTCTGGGCTTCCGGTCTAAAGAGAAACCAGATGTTCTAGTGTTATTTTCTCTGGTGCTCCAGAGAAGAGTTTTTTTTGCCAATAAGTTTCTTTCTCCATCATGGCCTGAGACTTTTTCTGATGATAGTCAAGTGCGCAGAAGGTTGGAGTAGGGGGAACAGCCAACAAACCTTCCTCCAGAATTTTGGAAACTCACTATACAAACACATGTGAAGCACAAATATATATGAGCACATAATTTTAATTTTTAAACCTGTTTTCTTCTTACAGATATGAACAGTCAAATTATCCGCTTGCCTAAATCACCACAGAACCATTTAAAAGAGTCATTCCAACTTAAACCAACTGAGAGTCTTCATGTGCAAAACCGGGTGATTTCCCATACACATCACATTTGACAACTGTGCTGATGAAAGTGCGGGAGCCACTTCTCCTTTGAATGTTGATATTAAAATAAAGAAATTAGTCTTAGTGAGTTGTTCCTACACACCATCAGGTGGCAATCCCCAAAGAGTGTTGGGAAGGTACGGCTGAAGGAAATCTTGTGAAAGGCCCAACTCAAAAAAAAGATAACTAGGTAACGTTTCAAAAGAAATATTATCTAGTTTTATTTTAAATAAATAAACAAATAGAATCTGGGACAATAGGTATCCCATCAGACTCCCTTCTGAATACAAGAAATAAAATTTTCTTGAGGAGGATAAACATCTATTAATTCAACAGATTGCTGTTATATGCTGAAGATGGCTAAGCTCTAATTTGGGGTTAACACACTCCAGCTCAGAGAAGATTGATATGAGAATTTAATTTTACATGCTGAAAACTATCAAAATACATTATCACTATCAAGAAATCATTCTCCAGAGGTTTATACATGCACATCATCAGATATGTTACAGTCATAGACAAATCTGGGTGTAAAAGTTGAGCTAAGGCCTCTGTTGCAGGAAAAGGACTGTAATTGTAAAACTGAGGACAAAAGTACTCCTTGAATACACGTCTTAATGTCAGTTCCAACACTGATAGAAGCAATCATAATTCCTTACTCTAATGTGATAAGTCATACGAATGGGGCTTTTGCTGCCACTATCCATTTTTTTCCTAGATCAACTATCACTATGAATTACATATGAAGATTTGGGAGGGTTAATGTGTTGTCTTTGTTTTGGGACAGGGGTATTTATAAAAAAAAAATCTCCTTTATTGAGAAGCAATAGGAAAACTGTGTGGAGATGACAACATAAATTAGATGAAGTACTAAACTAAACCAGTGTGAAATGTCTACCAGGCTATTCAGGGTACTGGGACGACAGAACAAAATACATCTGGTGAGATTTGACAATATTTAACAGGAAAGAGAGGAATTTGTTCACACAGAGGTAATAACAGGTGCAAAAAAAAAAATGTTTGAACTTTTTTTTTTTATTTGTAAGAAAGTCAATTTCAGGTTTTCCAACAGATTATTTACAAGGACCATCACAGATATGTACAAGCACAGTGAAAGACAAACACAAGATGAATCCATCCTACTTTACAAAACAGAAGAACTTTCCAGGAATGTATTATTTTCTTTTTGTTTTAACTTATTCTGTAATGATAGCAGTCTTTGACATACTTGCTATGTACTGAAGAATGTCACACTTGGATTTTCTGCTTCAGTACATAAGAGGCATTAATATCCTAATGATAAGTATTCTAAAATGCCTTATTAATATGCCAGGTCTACTGGTTTCTCAAGTCTCAACACAGAAATGGAGACATTATTTTTTTTTTTCATAAGGAAATCATTTTTGTAATAGCCTCCACATAAAAATCAACTTACTTAATTTTAAAGGATCCTTCCTATGACTCTATACTTCATGTAAAACTGGCACTTAGCTTGTTCACATGCTTATTTCTTGATTTAGAACATGTAAATATAAACAAGCTTGTAGCCTGGGGTTTTTCTGTTTGGTTCTTTTTGTTTGATTGGGTTTTTTTGTTGGGCTTTTTTGCACCTTTCAGGAGATTTATGGGAAAAAACTGCACAGGGAGGCTGCTTTTTATGACCATGTGCATTCAGTCTGAGTCACCTGTGTTTGCTTTTAAAAAAATTGAGTCAGTGCTATGCCCTATCTTGTAGTGACACTTACAGCTGCACACAGACTAAGCCCATCTTACTGCTAAAATGTAGTTTGACAAGTGCTATGAACAGAGCATTAAATGGGGAAATGGCAGTACTTAAACTAAAGAAACTACATTTCCTCTCCTTATGCTTTAGTGACCAAATTAAGCAGTCTGTAAAAGCTATTCCGATACATGTATCCTCCTAATGAATTGTCCGAGTTAATTTTTTAGGTAAAATTAGCATTTTAGTAGCAAAAATATCAAAATAATAGGAAACTATATTGCACAGGGGCCATAAAAAGGTCTCAATCTTCTGAAACTCCTAAAAAATTTTGGACTATCACAGTTTCAGAAAGACCATAAAAACGTTTCTGAAAAATGTTTTCTGACAAGGAGAAATAGACCTGTCTGTGCCAATGTCCAAGACCAGACCTAGAAGTAATGGGTCTATTTAAAATTGAATGTGGAAAGCACAAGTACGGTAGGACAAGAAAGGCATACAAGGAGAAGTATCACTCTAAATTTGATTAAATGCATACCTATTACATCATGCCTCCCCTACTAGCTGTCATTGGAGACACTACTCAGGGCAGAAAGCTTGTTCTGCCACTGTTATATCTATATGGATAAATGCATCTGTCCCAGAGAATGATTGTTCACCTCTGAGCAGGTGCTGCAGCTCCTTTCACATACATTACTCAGCTGTTCCCATCTAGAGGAAAATGGTCTCACTCACACTGCATAGCATTTCCTGTGTGTCTCCCCTCTGCTCCATGCTGGTGGCCCTAGAACAAAATATTTTTTGGTGTGCTGGGTTTTATTCCAGTTCAAGGAGTTTAAGCAATTGTGAGATCAACACTTCTGTACACAGCACAGTAGTTATATGTCACTTACTAAGGAAGCTGTTGCAGAACCTGGGGCATGATGTGGGTGCTTCAGAGTGAAAATCTTGCCAGGAACATAAAATAACCAAATTTATTGAAATATATTCCAAAAATATTTTTCCAATAATGAAGGACCTACAAAGTGAAATATTCCCCAAGCTATAGCAAGTTGGTTTTTTTTTTTTTTTTTTTTTTTTTCTGATGGAGAGCTATTAGCATACTTCAAAAGAAAGCCAGGAGTCAATAAATACTTCCAACCTGTAAGACCTCGGCCCATTTCAATGTGTTCAGTTCCTTACATGAATGGAGAAATCAATTATATTGAAGCCTTGAAAAGTAACAAGAGTATGTGGGACAGAGTCCCAGTCACACACATGCAATCAGGACTCTACCTCTGTTCCTTTACCACCACCCACATGGCCTTTGTCTGGTTCATACCTGAAGGAAAAACAGAGCAGCATCTAGATTAAAATGACTACTAAAGGATGCGAATGGTTGCCCTGTTCAAACATTCAAAACTTAGGATATCAGATAGTGGCAAGGAGAGAAATAACCTCATACCATTCCTTCAGAAGCTTGTCAGAGCAAGTCATAGGGAAGGCAAGGATATCTATAAGCACAATACCACTGAACAGATTAGATATCACTATGTAGTGCGAATGGGCTGAACATGAACAACAGTATTCGATGCGAGATTGTACAAAGAAACCACAAATGTAAATATTAAACTTTGCCCAGACAAGCACATCACTGGTACAGGCAAGTTATTACTGCCCCAAATAGTATTTACCAATGTCTAACTACAGTAACCAAATGTTTGGTTTGAACATGTATTTTAAAGGTTGCCTTAGCTCAGCTATTCCAGTAGACCTATCCTGAACAAAACAGCAGCCTAAACAAAACCTGCAGCTGGGAATTTTTAGGGAAGGATTTCATGTATCTGAACAAAGCATTGAGGCTGAAGACCTGACTAGTTTTTGCTGGTGTGTGACTGCAATTGAAGTGATTCATATAGTTCTGTTAAATTGCACTATTCAGGTAAGGTTTAATTCTTTACTGGAAACTGTGTTTACACAGTTAAGCAATTTTTTAAGCATAAAACAATAACAGTTATTTTTCAGAAATATTTTTCCAAGGTATGGACTAACTGAATTAGTGGAAAAAATTGGAATTTAAAAAAAAAAAAAACAAAAAACCACAACCCACAACAAAATGGGGGTGGGGGGAGGGAGAGTGTGTGTGATTGAAGTTTAGAAGTACATAAATCACTTCAGAAATATAATTTGCAAATTCATTGTGTAAAGTAATTAATCAAAGCATGGCTGAGTTACAGTACTTGAGGGACTTTGATCTGACAACTGGAAGAAATATAAAGAAACTACTGCGTATCAAGCTACAGTGTTAGGATGTAAAATGTTTCTCCATGCTAGTCACAAGTTTAATTACTTCTTTTTTTCTGCTGACAGATCTAAATTAAAATAAATGGGCCACATCGAGACAAATTTCAGATGCATGGAGTGCTTAAGAATATATTGTTCCCACAATACAGAAATACCATGGAATTTATTAATAAGGCTGTTCTTTTTTTTTTTTATTTCACTGGGAATTGTATTGGGAAAATAAAATGGAATATAACAAGTGCTTAACATTTTCCATTTAACATGCTTAATTTAGAGGTTTTAAGGCGTTATTTTTATTCTTAAAAAAGCATATGTGTCTACCCAGATTTACAGCTGCATATAACAAGAAAAATAGTTATGGTAAAAAAACACAGACAGCAGTCACATATTAACTGAACAGCCTTAATACGGTCATGCCTTACTCTCAATATAAAAAATTCCAGTTCAAGTAATACACAGTGATTACTATGCTAATCTGAATTGCTGAAAGTGATTTGAGATGCATCTAAAGTAACTAAATGTTCTTTTAGAGTGACTAATTGCAAGAATAAAAATGAAAATACAGATTATTTATTGGAAAAGTATATGTAAATCTGTGCATCAGATTTAAAGGGTTTAGAAAGTGAATGGCACCCTTGCTAAAGGAAAATTTAAATCAGTATGTTATGTTCTGCTGTCACAAAAACTGTGAAACACAGATGGGGCTGGTCCATCTTAGTGAAACTCACATCATTAAACATGCAGTGAGAAACCAGAGTCAGGATCAACACACCCAAAGTCAAGTTTTCTAGTCATCTGCCTCAAATGAAAAAAGCACAAAGTTGAAAAGAGCTGTCATTGTTACATCACCTGTGTTCTGGCTTTTGAAACCATACAAGTTTATTTCCTAGCAATATTTCAGACGGTTATGAAGTAGCCAAAAGAAGCAGACAACATGTAGCAGACAATGTGTCCCTTTCCTATCCTCCTCCTGGCAGATAGGAAGAGGTCTTGAACAGCTCTTTGATTTCAAGGGTGATGATCTCACT